TGGACCATTACGAGATTATCTGAAATGCTACTCGGAAGTTGTCCGGCATATTTAGAGGTAGTGTTCCTGAGGGGCAATCTATTAGTGAACCGACAAAAGAAATTTTGTAGCAACTACAGGCTGGAATGATCACGGTGGGCCTACTTACCTCAAGAGTGATGGAAGATCACGACACTTGTTTCACAAGAATGCTGGGTTGTGTACAAAGCTTCTGCCCCAAGCCCTTCATGGTGTACGTACCATAGCTTGTCAGCACTCACACGTATAACGTGTTGAGCCGGTTAGCCGATATCGGCAATGACCGCGAGGCTGAAAGCTTTAGCAATGAATTTTGACTTGTTTTTGTTTGTTAACTGCTGTTTTGGCCGCAGTTCGTTTTGCGAATGTTTCACGAGAATGCCACCTTGTGATAAGCTCAGAGATTTCTTGAGTGAAGGCATGGCCGTCCATGAGATATATCAGAAGTTTTCTCATCATATGGGGTTCCTCTGCGGCCAGTCGCCCAGGTTTCTGCTATTATCAACTCTGCTGTTCCTCTTCCTATCAGAGGGAGCCTGCCCTTGGCGGCAATGACAACTTTTTTCTCTTTATGAAAGGACTTCAAGGGAGATTTGTCGCCGAACTTTCACCAACAGCGGCACCCTGTGCGACAAAAAGTTTACTGACTTGAGTGGGGACAAAGTGACCGTTTTTTAAGCCACCTCTGTAGTGAGGGAGCAGATTGATTAAAAAGGTGTTCAAGATGGTAGCTTGATCGAAGGAGGAAGTTACAGACCAACTAAAGAGATGTGTGCCACAAACAGTGACGTAAGCATTTCAAACATGGGGCTTCCGGTTCTTTCACCCCTCCCTCCTTAGTTCTCCGTCCTATCGTACAACGAAATTTCGAAAGTCGATGTCAATATAGAGAAAGGCCGTTGTCATAGAACAGCGAAAAAATCAAATCTCTATCGGAGAGAGGGAAACTGAATTTTTTGTTGTGGAATTTGAATTATGTTTATGATTGTTTGCCTCAACTTCGGTGTTCATATTCCACAATTTTCGAAATGTTGTTAATCAAAATGAAAGCTTTCACACGCCCACAGCATGGCGAACTTACAGCTATTTAATCAGGGAGTGCAGTAAAAGTTAGGGATACCGTGTATGCTTATGATTCGTCTGTGTCTTCTTCTGCTGGTGAAGTTCATCGTCCTTCAATTTCCACGCAGTTTCATTACTTCTACTATTATGTTTTTATTTCAGCTGGCTACAGCAACTTCACCACAACGCGATGATGATTACTATGGTGACCCTGATCAGAGATCAGAGTAGTGGCGGTTCCGACGTATCGACTTCTTCATCTACTACAGCAAAAGAAGCAGTAACACCGCCAGCAACGCCTTCAGCTCAGGACCAAAATAAAGACACAGATCAAACACAAGTACAGAGTGGTGGTGATTCCGACGTATCGACTTCTTCATCTACTGCAACAAAAGAAGCAGTAACACCACCAGCAACGCCTTCAGCTCAGGACCAGAATAAAGACACAGATCAAACACAAGTACAGAGTGGTGGTGATTCCGACATATCAACTTCTTCATCTACTGCAGCAAAAGAAGCAGTAACACCGCCAGCAACGCCTTCAGCTCAGGACCAAATAAAGACACAGATCAAACACAAGTACAGAGTGGTGGTGATTCCGACGTATCGACTTCTTCATCTACTGCAGCAAAAGAAGCAGTAACACCGCCAGCAACGCCTTCAGCTCAGGACCAAAATAAAGACACAGATCAAACACAAGTACAGAGTGGTGGTGATTCCGACGTATCGACTTCTTCATCGACTGCAACACAAGAAGCAATAACTACGCCAACAACAACCACGCCAACAACAACAACTACGCCAACAACAACAACTACGTCAACAACAACGACTACGTCAACAACAACAACAACGACAAATGGGCTCCCATCAAATCCCAGTGAGCCTTTTTTGAAAAACAAAAACTTAAAACTTATGATTGTCTTCATTTGCAGGAATCAATCAGATCTGCTCTGGTAATCGTGGTATGAACGATAGGATAAGAAACATTGCCCGTGAAGGGCACAATTACAGAAGGTTATTTCTGAGTACTTCATTGTGGTCCACAACACTTCTTCTTGTTGATTTGATATTGTTCAGATCAAGACTTGCTCTTGGAATGGTCAGGAAAAATAACGGTGCATTTCTTCCACCTGCAACCAACATGCTTAAGATGGTGAGGAGCTGGAAATAATTAGCCACAAAGTTTCCGTGATTGCCGTGAACAGCGCGTTCATGAATTCACCTAGAGGGGCACTTCTGATTCTGTTGTGTAAAATTTTGGACCATTAATCCCCAACCATTTAGTCTGATTTTGCTTTATCAACTTGCCGAAAGTGAAAAGATAGAAACCAATGTTCTCCCACAGTGTTGCCTTGATCGAACAACATTACACCCGCACATTGTAGATGTACGATTGCAAACTGGAGACGTCGGCGAAAATGGTCGCGGATAAATGTACTACAAGTGGATCTACACTTCCTCCTCAAGTGAAGGAAAACATTCATCGTATTCATAAAAGCAATGCACGCTTCCGTACTGATGCCATGATAGAGGTTTGTCTATGTCGTGCCATATCTCTGCAAGCAATGAATGTCCGTCATCCCTTTAGGCAATCAGGTTCTGGTGGGGCCAGGTGAGGCGCGTTCATGGCATTGGAAAGAAAGCCATCTTCAGAGCAATACACGAATTCAGCACAATTAGACACTTCACACTGGTGAGGAGGCTTTGATGCTATTACTTAAAAGAGTAGACTGAAAGCACACTCGATGGAAGGAGTTGATTTCTGATAGCTTCCTAGCTTTCTTTTTTTGAGGGAGTGGCTATTCAATTAAAAAGCTTTAGATGGCATGGGCTACAACGAAATACATTGGGTGCGCTGTATCGCAGTCATGCGGCAGCTACTGGTATACTGTATGCCACTACAGAATCGGGTATTGTTCCAAACTCATACATATTTTACCCCTAAATTTTAGCTCTGCTACTCACCTGATGCATTTCAGAGGAAATGTTGTCAACGAACATGTTTACATGCCAGGGCGCACGTGTTCATATTGTCCGATAGGCTACTACTGCGACCCAAGCAATGGATTGTGCACTAAAGCTTAGGGTTCTCTTTGCAAGACGTGTTATGAATGAAATTTTGTTCACATTTATTCTGAAAGCATCGTAGTGCACAATGTCACTGAAAAGAAGCCTTAGTAACCAGAGACTCTATACAGAGACCAATCCGCACTAGAGTTTAGTATTCAAAAATAAGTGAATTTGTCGCCACCGTCAGCTTCTTACCTAATTTCCAATTTAATAAAACCTCAAATTTTAGAACATTCAATACATGTGGCTTGCATGATAGCACAAATTGTTTGGGAAGAATTCAGTCACGATTACCTCCTTATGTGCAGCTAACGGATGGAAGAAAAACTAGAGCGCTCAGAGTGCTGCTGTGCACAACACTGTAAAAGCTAACATCGAATGCTATACATTTTCCTAGGTGTAGGATCTTTCCATCATCAAAACATCTTAAAAGAGATCACAGGCTCGAAAACCGAATAAAATCTCTGTGCTTTGAAAAAGCAGACGTTCGAGGGGTCGGTCACCTATCGCACTTATACAGCTCAACAAAAACATTGAGTTGAGGGCTCATTTTCGTCGACTGAAGTCTTTTTGAAGGAATTACCAAATGAAACGCCACTACCAAACCCGGCTTCACTCGCAGCACGGGTAAACGTGACGTGCGCAACATTTCCAAAAATTCTCGAACTAGTAGCGCCCCTCCTTTAGGGCGAGTCTCGATGCGACCCCCCACCACCACCAGGAGGCAGGCGAAAGTGGGCGTTAGGAGAAGAGATTGGAAGCGCGACGGAGGACATGGTAACCAAAAGGATAACCGCCGCTCGCTTATCTCGTATACTGACTTATCAACGGAGCAATGCGTTTGAACTTCGAGCAGAGTAATTTGGGCGCATCTCTAGTATAGTCGCGATATCTACTGCTCTCATTGCACATCTTCACTTGAGATGGAGGAACCTTTCATCTTTAGTTGGTTAACTTACATCGAACTTGTCTGCCAAGACAGAGAAACTAGCATTTCCATCGCCTGGTAGTCGCAAACAAAAATGTGCGTCATTTTGAATCGAATCGATTGCCCGCCTCATCTTAAATCTCTTCTCTCAAAGGATTCAGTTATCTGGTATCAATTTTTTGTGCAATAAAAACAGATGGAGCGTCCAGCTCCCACATGCGGAGAGCAAATAGAATGAATACTACTCATTTGCTCAAGAGAAAAGCAGTATAAGGATGCATCTCTGCTAGAGTCTGTCTTTGAGCTGCGCACCTCAACAATGGAGGAAAAAGGCGTTCCTTCTTGTAGAGGAAATCATGAAAGCAATGACGCCATAATGGCATTCCAGTATTAATTGTGCTTTTATTCTATTAGAGAATGCTTTTCTTCCTGTCCCCCTTGTTTTTCGCTCCTCCCTCCACTGCCGCCAGAGCACCAATCGTAGTATTCGAAAGTAGGTGTTCATATGTGTAGCTGTTGGAGTGTTACCACTACCATGCCATGGCAAAACGTAGCTAACTGAAGTACGCGATTTTGTTAGCGGCTTGTGCACTTTATAAGCTCCCTCATCGCTTCATTTCGCTGTCAGACAGATTTACATACCAGCCTGACATCTCGACGAACCGACACACCGAGGTTGTGGTTCATATATCGAAGTGGTATGTCACTGAACCGTTTATCAACTACGAATTACTTCCCGAACTCACTACTATGTTGGTATATCACACAGTGCTGCATAACACAGCTTCGCGCGGTCAACGTTCCACCAACTCGTTGACTCCAGAAACAGGGTCGGTCCTACCGTTGCTACTTTTCAAAAAGTTTTTACGACCCCCTCCCTCATAAAATGTTTCATACAACCCCCTCCTTCGAAACAATTTTTTCCCAAAAAAATACAGCTAAGGGGGACGGTGGGGATTTATATCCGTGAACAGCCGAAAAATCCACTACATTCCCGAACGCCTGCTAAACAGGCAAACTTTCTCGGTGCCGCTCCCCACGGTCACATTCAGGTACAGAGATAAGACAGATGATGACACCTCATACTGCTATTTGTACAACCATAAGCAAGTAAGATCCCCTCTACAAACCACCAAAATACGACACGACCCCTCCCCTCGTGTGCTACTTGGATGCCACATAGCATTACCCTGCTCAGAACCCTTTTTGATCATTTTTCGCGTTTCTTTACGAGATTGAGAGGACTAACAAGGCGCTTGTAGTGTAGCGTCAAATCCTCGATGGGATAGCGAACTGATTTAGACACCAACTGATTAAAGCTTTCTATCACGAAAACATGTACCGCTCAAAAATACAAAAACGTCCAAGATGGAAGCATACGTATCGAGAAAACTGGTCGCAGAACTTGCTAAGGGCCTTTCTCGCTGCAAAGCCCACCGGGTACAAGAATGGGTGTTATTGTTCCTGTAGCTTCCCAAGTAATTACTAATCTAGTTACAAAGACGCATATCATTCAAATCCTGGGAAGCAACTAATGATATACTTATGGGCATGCACGTAAGTACATTATAAAGTATTTTTCTCCTGCCAAAGCTGGGAATTATGTACAGCAGTGGGGCAAAATTACTGGAGCACTTATATATTCTGGATTTTTTCTACACTTATTGTAGACTTTCCCGTTCGATTCTGTCACGATATGTTGCACGAACGTGCTACTACTGATGACGCTTATTACGAAGTCCTTCAGATTTCCGCTTCACGAAGTGCAGCCATCAAGCCTTAAAGCAACAGTTCAGGGAGGGTCCGAAAATTTCAATGCCACTACTACTGAGGGATACACGAGCCCTAGTGAAGAACATATGCAGTGGAAATAATAAACGAACTTACCTCAGAAACTCAAAACAGGGTGGAAAGTCCCTCAAACATGGGTGTTCTTGGGGATTTCCCCAATCCCGCCCCCTTGCCGGCCGTCATTGGACGCGTCGGCAATCGTGCTCGTTTTGGGACCACAGGGAAAATTGATTGAAAAATGGAGCGCGTTTACAGCGGGCACGTTCAGACAACTCGTCCAACGTGCGTCTTTATCCATTGCTGAGCGGCAGAGGGAGAGTACCTGTCTAAGACCCTCCCCGACGTTTTTTTCCAGTTTTTCATACATTAATCGTCTGGTTTTCATCTACAACTTCATTATTGGTGGTTTTTTCCCGCGAAACCGTTCCTGAACTGTTGCTTTAAAGGATCGCTATGCGTAAAGCGGTCCCGTCGACTTCTCAATTTTTAAAGGTTGCTTTGGGAGGTCAAGCTCGATACTTCTTTGAAGTTATGAGGGTGTCCTTACTGTAAGGAGGGGTGTGGGTGAAGTTAGCAAAGGCTTCGCTCTAGCAACCGAGAGCGACCGGGAGTGGTCTAGGAACAGTGCGCCGAGCACATGCTTACTTCATCAGTTTTCGTCAAACGGCTCTCCAGTTCCCCGCAGTAAGCCAATACCCTCCTATTAGATAGACCGCTAACTTCGTGTGTCATTTTATATGTATGTCGATATGTGTGCAGGTTGGATATCGGTCGAACTAAAATCTGAAATCGGTCGGAAATCTAGGGGTTCGTATTTGCTCCTGTGTAAATGTTGGGGGAGGGGGTCGTAATTGTAATTGTAATGAGTATTGAACAAGTCGTAATATCCAGCCTTAGGCGAATAAGGGGTTCATCCCTCCTCTCCTTAAAACCTCAATGTGTAAGGGAAATGCCGTTAAGAATGTCTGAAGAGAATGTCGAGGCTCCAGCGCAGGGTGAATATCTTTCGAGGAAGCCCTCGACAGGGGGTCGTATTCGTCAGGGTGGGTCTTGGGGGTGGGGTGGGACTCAGTAACGACAGTGGCATCGTGGTGCAGATAGGAGAGAGAGGGTGTAGCGGCCTACAGTCTTTCCAGAACTATTGCCATTTTTGTGACAGCGTCCAAAACAACAGTGTCATTCTCAACGAGGTATTGAGGGCGAGGGAGCGGTGTGTAGATGGAGGAAATGCCTTCGCAGCGCGTATGCACATATGACTCTGTTCCCAGCACATGGTCGATTTCCGTCTGTCTCCCTCCACTGCTGTAGGTTACCTTTTGAGTCTCCCTTTTCGCGAAGAACGTGCTGCAGATTGCCAGATCGTGGGCTGTAGCCAGGTCCAGAACCCTCTCTCTCAGCGTTCCTCTCCTATCCCTCTACCTCCGTGCACCCTTTCCAGGCCTCTTCTGTCACTGCCGACGTGACCATTCAGATCACCTGCTATGGTCAGGTAATCGCCTTCCGGAATCGATCTTATGGCTTCGTCCAGGCTCAGATAGAACTCGTCCTTCTCACTTTCGGGGCATCCGGCTTGCGGTGCGTACACGGAGAGTATGGTCCAGTACCCCTCCTTCGTGTCTATCCTCACAGCCATGATCCGATCGCTGATCCTGTTCACAGCGGAGACATAGTCCTTGAGCGACTCCGCTACCGCTATGGCCACGCCGTTCCGCTTGGTGTCTTCTCCATTGTAGTAGAGTTTGACACCTTCCCCGATTTCCCTGGCCTTAGCACCTTTCCATCGCGTCTCCTGAAGGCATAGGACTTGGATATTCCTGCGCGTCATCAGATCAGCAACCTCTCGGGACTTCCCAGTTAGCGATCCTACGTTCAGAGTCCCAATTCGAACTAGCTTCTTTGGCCGAGGCCGTTCACTCCTCGGTAGCCCTCGCATACTGACCACAGAACTCGGGCGGGGGTTCTGCGCGCCACTTCCGGGTGACGTCCTAGCTTTATCACTGATTCTTTTGCGACTTTTAGACATGGTTGGGTGTCTTCATCAGCCGGCCTGTCAACCTGGGCCTGACGCTGGTACTAGAACCATTTTTGCAATTTTTGCAAGGCATGGTTAACCTCGGCAGGGATCGAACTCGCGGTTTTCAGAGGTGCAGACATGAGTCTAACCTCTTAACCACTCGGCTATGCCTGCCTTAATAGCTCCTATGACCATATTTAGTCTTAATTCTTTCATGTACAGGGATGGCAAAAGAGGG